ATGTAAAATGTAACACATGTCGCATACATATAGAACATTCCTGTGAAAGAATTTTTAGATTCACCAAAATATTTCTAAATATTTTATTTATTAATAAAATTGACTGAATTAAGTTTAACATCTCACATCACCACCAAAAATAAGGAAGCAGAGTATCAAGGTAATTACATGTACTCTTAATTTCTGTATGGCTGCTTTAATTCAGAAAAGTTTGTATTTTAAATACATTCAGTTTATTTAATTCATTTACTCCAATAAGTTATCCTATATAATAGAAGCCTAAAATGCAAATTGACCGAATGTCTGAATGAAAGGCAGAACGACTGGTTGCTATGATGCACACTGACCACCAGGGGGCAGACGCTTAAGGCAGGAGCTTCCTCTGGTGGTCATTGCTCTCCCACAGGGAGAGCGCTGCTCAGCCAGCAGCTGGGCTCCCTGACAGTCGGATATTCCCCAAGGGGTCCTGGACTGCAAGAGGGTGCAGGCCGGGCTGAAGGAACCACCGCCTCCCACCAAGTTCACGAATTTTGTGCACTGGGCCTCTGGTTTAAAATAAAAACAATTTGTTAGAACCAAGAAATGAATTCAGCAACATTGTGGGGTACAAAATCAATTTACAGAAATATGTGGTGTCTAATAACAAAGGGTCAGAGAGAGAAATTAAAAAATTAATCCCACTTACAATTGCATTAAAAGAATAAAGTACTAGGAGGAAACATAACTTATGAAGTGAAAGACCGGTACATTGAAAACTATAACATATTGCTGAATGTTATTGAAGAAAACACAAAAAAATGCCCTAGCCAGTTTGGCTCAGTGGATAGGGGGTTGGACTGCAGACTAAAGGGTCCTGAGTTCAACTCAGGTCAAGGGCATATGCCTGGGTTGCAGGCTCAATCCCCAAGGAGGAAGGGGGTAGGGGGAGAGGAGGAGGTAGCCGATGGATGATTCTCTCTCATCATTCATTGCTGTTTCTCTCTCTCCCTTTCCCTTCCTCTCTAAAATAAAAAAAAATATGCTTAAAAATATGAAAAAAAGACAAAAAATGGAAAGGTTTCTAGGTATTCTGGACACTGAGTTGAATAAGATAATAAAACTAGGAGATCAGTTATAAATCCTAGTAGCATGACATTAGTGTAAATACCTGACATGAAACTTTTGATGTATGAGGCATCTGTTTCAAAGATGTCTTTCCTATATAATTAAAGCCTAATATGCTAAGTGTCCAGTCATGCATTCACCAATCAAAGTGAAAAAAGCTAATGATATGCTAGGGCGAGCAACCGCTCACTATGAAATGAACTGAGCACCAGGGGGCAGATGCTTCAACTGGTAGGTTAGCTTGCTGCTCCGATCCGACCAATTGGGACTGAGCAAGATGAACCGGACATGCCCTGGAGCCCTCCCACGATCCCTCTCCAGCTGACCAACCTTCCGCATCCCTCCCTCACCTTGGTCATGCATTGCTGAGGTATCTTGGCCTGACCTGCATCCTCTCACAATTCGGGACCCCTTGGAAGATGTCAAAGAGCTGGTATTGGCTCAATCCTGCAGGCCAGGCCAAGAGACTCAATTGGTGCACGAATTCCTGCAAGGGGCCGCTAGTCTCAAATAATTCTATTGCCAGCTTTATAACAAGGCTACTAGAGAAGCACTGAGGACT